CGCGGGCAGGCGCCGTTGCCATCCCGGGCACGCGCCCCCCAGCAGGTTAGCTGCCGACGCAGACGCCGCGCTGCCGCCGCAACGGAGGCAGAAAACGTGCGCGGGCCCGCGCGCCAGGGTGTGGGGCCACCACGAGCGCCCTGCGAAGAACTCCGTCAGCATACGGGCGCATCGGCACCGCTTCGGCGTGGGCAAGCTGGCGTCGGCACCACCCGGCCAGCTGAGCCGTCGGCCGCCGGGGCAGACACCGCGCGCGCCCGGGCGCTGCGGCGGACTGCACGCCAATTGAACTGGCGGCGGCGCGCCGCTGGCGGCGCCGAGGCGAGGGCAGACTGGTGCGCGGCAGCCATGACGCGCCGCGCGGCTTCCGGAAGCTCCAGCTCCCGACGCCGGTCGCGCACCACTTCTGGCGGCGGCGGCGGCGCCAGCGTTGCCATCGGCGGCCGCGCTGCCAAGGCTGCCAAGGCGGTCCCGCTCGCTCAGCCCCAGGCGGCGCGCCTCCGCTGGCGTCTTGTAAAACAGGGCTAGGATCGGGATAAATCGCTCCAGAGCGTTCTGGAGCGCTCTCAGAGCGTTCTGGAACGCTCTGGAGCGGCCGCGGCGCCCAATACATCCTCCAAACCCGCCGATTCTCAGAGATTTCGAGTTATCCCGATCCGATGTTGTCCCGATTTTCGCGTCGCTTGAGCTCAGCCCCAGGCGGCGCGCCTCCGCCGGCGTCTTGTGCGCTGGCACCCAGCGGGCCCAGAGGCGCCCGCTGCGCACGGCGCCCAGGAGTGGGAGCCACAGGGCAGCGTGCTCCCAATCACCTGGGCCCGCACACACTGCGGGGCGGCCGCAGAGGAGGAGGAGGAGGAGGAGGAGGAGGCGGAGGAGGAGGAGGAGGAGGAGGAGGCGGAGGAGGAGGAGGAGGAGGAGGAGGAGGAGGAGGAGGAGGAGGAGTGCGAGGAGGCGGAGGAGGAGGAGGAGGCGGAGGAGGAGGGGGGGAGGGGGGGGGAGGCGGGCTTTACATCAAAGGGGTGCGGCGCGCTCCATGGGTGGCAAAGGCTCGGACGCCCCGACCGTGTCCCCGAGAGCTTGACGAGCTGTCGCCGACCGACTTGCGAGAAATCAAATCCAAGCAGGTCCAGAATTGGGACGCTAGGTGAATCCTGAGATCTCCAGGGAACTCTGGAGCACACCGCGGACCATCGCCAGTCGAGGGACAGCGGAAGTTGCTTGCCCCTTAACGGCCCTGGCTCCCGCGCCCGACCCCTTCTCTGAGAGGTCCCTGGCCACCTGCTCGCCCTTCGGTTGTACGCATCGGTGAGGCGCAGCTGCTGGAACGCATCCTGAGGAAGGCAAGACCGCAGGAACCGACGAGTGAAAACGTCTAGGAACCCCCGAATCTCCGCTGACTCACCACACGGTAGGGTCACCGCACCGTCTCTGGGCCCCGGGACCTGCGTTTGGCACGCGCGAAATAAGCACGGAACATGTGGGAACAATGCCTAACAGCAAATGCCGTCCAAAACCAACAGCCGACGCTATTGGGCAGACGATGTTCTGTCTCACATGGGCAACGTCCGCGGCCACACCGACAACGAATCTGCTTCAAATGGACAAGAACTGGCGTTGGCCTTCGTACCCCTTGTTCCCGTGCCCACTTCGGTCCTGACTGCCTTAGCTACCAGACCGGCCCAACGCACTCAAAGCCCCAAATTCCAGGCTTGAGGGCCTGCGGGTTCCATCCGTGCTTGGTCCCCAGACCCCCGACGTCATGATTTGTTCACAACGTCGACCCCCAGAGGGCTGGACCCCTTCCCCGGGACCAGTTTCTCATCCTGAGCCGTTCTTTGACGCCCCCGGGGCCCGGTAAGGGCCCCCCGAAGCCAAAAAGAGCGAAAAACCTCCCGTCGTGAGTTCTTCACAAAGCGAGGGGGGGGTCTGGGCCTAGTGTTCCAGGATGCCCACCCACTGGGAAGGGAGGGCAACTTGGGGCCCGCGGGATGCGTTGGGGTGGCTTGGTTTAGGTCGGGCGTGTCCTCCTACAGGCGGATTTCGGACGAAACGAAAACGATGAGAAACAATAAAAAAATGCCCCCCCTAAAAAAGTCCCCCCCGAGTATCTTTTGACTAGTTTTGAACAGTCCTCCTGTAGAGGGACGTGCCCGACTGAAGGCTTGGTGTGTACTGAGGCCCTCCCTGCACTAGGCGGCGCGCCCGGGGGGGAAGAGAGAGGGGGCGGGCCTTCTCAGAAGGTTCGGAAGTCCCCCGGCCGTCCCAGAAGTTTCCTCGGCCTTCCCCGGAGACGCTGACAACTTCTCAGAGGGCCAGAGGGCTTCTGAATAGTGCCGCCGCGCCGCCTTCTGAGAAGGCCTTCTCCTTCTCACTTCCCCCCTCGCCCGCCGCCGATGCACGCGCCGCCGAACCCTCCGCCTGGCGGACGCGTCGCCCGGCACGGACTCGACGCCCTCGGAGAGGTCGGAATCCCTCGGCGGGAGCGGGCACGCGCCGCAGGAGAACAAACACACACACACACACACACACACCGTGGAAGAACAAAAAATAAAAACAACTATGACAAACACAATATGTGTGCGTGCGTGTGTGCGTGTTTGGGTTTGTCCTTATATGTGTGTTTGTGTTTATGCATATGTTTGTGACTGTGTTTGCGTTTGTGTTTGTGTTCGTGTTTGTGTTTGTGCCTGCGTGTGTAGGTGTGTTTGTGCTTGTGTTTGCGTGTGTGTTTGTGTTTGTGCTTGTGTGTGATTGTGCTTGTGTTTGCGTTTGCGAATGTGTTTGTATGTGTGTTTGTGCTTGTGTATGTGTATGTGTTTGTGTTTGTGTTTGTGTTTGTGTTTGTGTTTGTGTTTGTGTGTGTGGTTGCGTTTGTGTGTTGTGTTTGTGCTCGTGTATGCGTTTGTTTTTGTGGTTGTGGCTGTGGTTGTGTTTGTGATTGCGTTTATGTGTGTGTGTGAATTTATGTTTGAGTTTGTGTTTGCGTTGTGTTTGCGATTGCGTTTGCGTTTGCGTTTGCGTTGGCGCTTGCGTTCGCGATCGCGTTCGCGTTCGCGCTTGTGTTTGCGTTTGCGTTTGCGTTTGCTGTTGCGTCTGCGTTTGTGGTCGCGTTTGCGTCTGCGTTTTCGTTCTCGTGTGCGTTTGCGTCCGCGTTTGCGTCTGCGTCTGCGTTTGCGCTTGGGTTTGCGATTGCGTCTGCGTTTGAGACTGCGTTTGCGTTTGCGTTTGCGTTTGTGTCTGTGTTTGTGTTTGCGCTTGTGCGTGAGAGTGTGTGCGTTTGTGTCTGTGTTTGTGTATGCGCTTGTGTTTGGGATTGTGTTTGTGTCTGTGTTTGTGTTGTTGTTTGTGTTTGTGTTTGCGTGTGTGCTTGTGTTTGTGTTTGAGTTTGCGCATGTGTTTGCGATTGTGTTTGTGTCTGTGTTTGTGTTGTTGTTTGTGTTGAAGTTGGTGTTGGCGTGGGTGCTTGTGCTAGTGCCTGTGATTGCGCTTGTGATTGCGCTTGTGATTGTGATTGTGCTTGTGATTGTGCTTGTGATTGTGCTTGTGCTTGTGCTCGTGCTTGTGCTTGAGCTTGTGATTGTGTTTGTGTTCGTGCTTGTGCGCGTGTTTGTGCTTGCGCTTGCGCTTGTGCTTGTGCTTGTGCTTCTGGCTGCGCTTATGATTGTGATTGTGATTGCGCGTGCGCTTGCGCTTGTGCTTGTGCTTGTGCGTGTGCTTGTGCTTATGATTGTGATTGTGCCTGCGCCTGTGCTTGTGCTTGTGATTGTGATTGCGCCTGCGCCTGTGCTTGTGATTGTGATTTTGCCTGTGCCTGCGTCTGCGCTTGTGCTTGCACTTGCGCTTGCGCTTGTGATCGTGCTTGTGTTAGTGTTCGCGCGCGTGTGCGCGGCCGTTTTATGCCGTCGTTTCTTGTTCGCGTTTGTTTGCGCGCGCGCCCGCTGTCCACCGCGCGCGCTTCTGCCCGCGTCGCGCGCGTCATTTTCCCGCGCGCGCAGCCAGCGACGCGAGCGCGCGCGCGCCCTGCCTCGCCGCCCTCGCGCCCCGCCGAAGAAGACGCCCCCCCGAACCCCAGCCGACGCCAATCAAAAGCGTCGGGGGCGGTGTCCCAATTCCTCGCCACTCGGCCAGACGGCACGAAACACGCGCGACGAAAAAGAATTCGCCCGGCGAAGGGCCCGACCACATGCAGTTCTGACTGTACACCGTCGTTGCGAGCGTCGCCCTCGGCGGGCCCCCCCACGGGGCCGCGAGGGCGGGGGGGGCGCCGCGGGGCGCCGAAAAAAGCGAGCGGGCCGCCTTGAAGCTCAAGCCGGCGTCGCCGGGGCCGCCAGCCCAGACCCCCGACGCCGCGATCTCCCCGCGCCGTCGACCCCCCGAGGCCCACTTCCCCGACGCCGGTCTCTCAACCCAAACCGTTCTTTGGCGGCCCCGCGGCCCGGCCAGGGCCCCCCGACGCCGCGGGCAGAGGAAGACCTCCCGTCGGGATTCGCCCCCGACCCGCGGGGGCCCGGGGACCTACATCGCATCGGTCTGCGCCCGGCAGACGGGCCGAGACAGGCCCCTGCCCGAGCCCGCCTCGCCGTCGTCAGCCCGGCGCGCACCGCGCCCCCGTCAGACCGGGCGACGCCCCGCGGGCTCGGGGGCAGTTCCAGGGGAAACGCGCGGCCGCGGGGGTGGCGAGGCCCGAGTGGCAGCGTCTCGATCATCACCGGCCTCCACGTTTTGCCGAGGAGGCCCGCCCAGGTCAGCGGCGAACGAAGGGGGGCGAGACGGAGAGGGCCCTCTCGGAGGGCGGCGGGGCCTCTCAGAAGCCCTCTGGCCTGCAGATATGATTTCTGCCTTCGGGGAAGACTCAAAAACCTCGTCGGAAGGCCCGCGGGCGCCGGAGCCCCCTGGGAACGCCCGCCCCCTCTCACCCTCCTTTGGCGCACCGACCACCAGAGGTTCAGGTCCTGCATCCAGCCGCGCCCGCCCGCCTTTCGGGAGTCGAACTCCAAGGCTACTACCAGCCCCCACGCCCCCCGTGCGCACGGCCGCGGTCGCATCCTGCCCCTCCGAACATAAGCGATATTAACATGCCAGCCTGCGTCAGCCCAAGACGACGCGCCCAGTGGGTCGTCGCGCTCAGTCGGAGAAACTTCTGCACTCTCACCGCGGATCTGCCGTGGGCGCCACGGGGTCGGCCTCGAAGTTCTGCGCTCTGCCACTGCTGCGCCCCTGCCAGCTGTCGACCAGGCCACGGCGCAGTCCCCCGGACCACGGTGGGGGGTCGGAGCCCTCGCCCACGGGAGGTGTCTGGCGATGCGCTCTTGCGCGAGCCGAAAGCATTCACGATGCGCGCGCGCTGCTGCAAGGCGCGCGCACCGTGGTGGGCCCAACCACTCCTATTGTTGCCCGCAGGCGCAACCTCTGGCGTTTCCCTGGCGCTACGCTCTCGCCCCGCACCGCGCTGTCCACGGCCGCCCCCATAACGCCCTGACTCGCGCACTCCTGCCGCGCCGCCCCCACGGGCGCGGGCCCGTCGGCGGGGCGACGGCGAGGCCACCGTCGGCGCCTCGCGCGCCCAGGAGCGCGAGCCAGGATCGGGGGGGCACAGAGGCGGGGCGGGGGCCAGGGCGGGGATCGAAAAAGAAATTGCCCCGACCGGCCCCTGGAAGAAGGAAGCGCGTCGAACGGGGGCATCTAGCCGGGCCCGCCCCCGCGCCCCACCCGAACCCTCCGTCTACGGACCCCCAACGAGCCCGCCGGCCCATCGGCGGGGCGACGGCGAGGCCCGCGCCGGCGCCTCGCACGCCCAGGGGCACAGGTCAGGACGGCCCGGCAGGCGAGGCGCGCGGCGTCCAGCAGCGCCCCCCCGGGGCGCGCGCGACGCCGGAAGCGCCGCGTCGCCGGGAAGGCCCGCTCGCGGGCCCCCGCGCGGGGGCTCGGCGCCGTCGGCCCTGGGGGCGAAAATTCGAAGGCCAGGGCCTCGCGCAAGATCTCGCGCCCCATGGTCGCAGCACTTCTTCCCCTTCCTGCCCCCCATCCCCCTCGTTCTTCAACATCGCTACGCAGACGCGAGTTTCGCAAACGTTACCTTCGCGATCAGCGGATGTCTAGGAGAACTGCCAATCGGCAGAAAGATGCGCCCCCGAGCATGGCCCTTGAAATACTAGCCCATTGCCATTGCCAGCAGGCGTGAGTTTGAAATTTCGACGGCCATGCTCGGGTGAGCATGTTTCGAAGCTCTTTCGACTTTCTGAAGGCATCTCGGTGGCGGGGGGGAGGCGCATGTTTGCACTGCCTGCGGACGCTCAGCCCTGCCAAACTCCTCACTAACAGTGCTACGCCCTGGCAAACGCTGGTAAGCCCCTCAGCCTGGGTAGACCTTGCAACGCCCAGCTCGGCCATGGTAAGCTCTGCTAAGTCTTGCTAGGCCCTGGTAAACATTGGCAAGCCTCACCAAGCTCTGCGAATGACTGGTAAGCTCTGTTAAGCCCTGCTAAGCCTTGCTCGGCCTTGGCAAGCTTTGTCAAGCCCGACTAAGCCTTGCTGAGCCTTGCTCAAGCATCGGAAGTGTTGCTTCGACCTGCTAATGTATGTAAAACCTGCCCTGCTAGGCATTGGTGAGCCCTGCTGGGCCCTGCCCATGCTTGGTAATCTGGGCTAAGCCTTGGCCAGCTCTGCCAAACCCAGCTCAACCCTGCTGAGACCGACCAGCCACTGCTAAGTCCTGGCAAGCTCTGCAAAGTCCTGCTAAGTCCTGGCACGCCCGGCTGAACCCTGGCATGCCTCGGTATACCCTGATTGGCCCTGCTAAACTCTCCCAAGTTTGGCAAGTATTGCTAAGTCTTGCTCGGCCTTGGCAAGCTTTGCTATGCCCTGCTAAGCCTTGCCGAGCCTTGCTTGCCCAGCCTTGCCAAGCGTTGCTAAGCCATGCTAAGCTTTGCCGGGCCTTGCTCAGCCTTGGCAAGCTTTGATGAGCCCGGCTGCTCCTTACGAAGCCCCAGGCCCAACTGAGCTTTTGAGACCTGCCAGCCCCTGCTGACCCTGGCAAGCTCTGCACTGCCTTGCTAAGTCCTGGTGCGCCCTGCTGAGCTCTGGTAAGCTTCGCTATGCCCTGCCTAGCTCTGCTGAGCCCTGCGAAGCTTGGTAATCCTTGCGAAGCCCAACTAGGATTGGCCAGCAGTGCTAAGCCCTGTCAAGTATTGCTGGGCCTTGCGCAGCCTTGGGAATATGTGCTGAGTCCTGCTGCTCCTGACAAAGCCTTAAGCCCTGCTGAACTTTGCTGAACCCTGATAAGCCTTGCTAAGACCTGGTCGGCCTTGCTTCGCCTTCGTAAGTCCTTATCAGGCCTTGGCAAAGCCCTGCTAAGCTCTACAAAGTCCGGCTGAATCATACTATGCCCCGCTGAGCACTGCTTGCCAATGCTGCTAAGCCCTGGCCAGCTCTGCACAGTCTTGCTGAGTCCTTGCGCGCCCTGCTGGGCTCTGGCAGGCTTTGATGAGCCCTGCTAAGCTCTGCTAAACCCAGGTGAACCCTGGTAAGCCCTTAAGCATGGATCAGCCTTGCCACGCTCTGATCAAACCTGGTAACCTTTGCTTAGCCGTGCTAAGCCTTATTCCGCTTAATGCGCGATCCTTGAAAGAGGCGATGTTAAAAGCCAACATTCGTCCGTAAGGATGCCTGGATCCAGGTAGCCTAGGGCAGAACACCTTTGTTTAGTGATAAGCCTTCAGGGTGATGTGTTGGGCCAGCATTCGTCCGTAAGGATGCCTTTTTATCAAGGGATCCATAGTGGGATGTCTTTTGTATCTCTTTTTTATTTATATGTTTAACAAGAAAAAAGAGGATCGCTGCGGCACAACGTGAGCACCAAGGAGTAGGAAGGAGAAGGGGGATTGGTAGAGCGAGAAAAGGAGGCAGGAGGAGGGAGGAGCACGCGAGGGGGAGGTGGGAGAGGGAGGGGGTGGTAGAGGAAGTAGGGAAAGAGAGAGAGAGAGAGCAGGTGCTGTGAACGGGATGATATCTCGTCCCGCCCCCCGCCCCCCCCCCCCCCCAAAAAAAGGGAAAACAAACGAGGCGAACATCCAGATGTGTTGTTGTGTGTGTTGGTTGGTCGGGGGGGCGGGGAGAGAAACAACGCACACACACACACACACACACACACACACACACACAAACACACACACACACACACACACCACAAACACACACCCACACACACACACACACACACCACACACACACACACGCACACACGCACACACACACACAAACACACACCACACACGCACACACACACACACACCACGACAGGGGGGCGGGGAGAGGAACAACCACACACACACACATACGCACAATCACACACAAACACACACACACACGCACACACACACACACAAACACACACCACACACGCACACACACACACACACCAACACCACACACGAACAGGGGGGCGGGGAGAGGAACAACCACCCACACACACACACACACACACCACACAAACACACAGACACACACACACACACACACACACACACACACACACACACGCACACACACACACACACACATACACACACACACACACACACACACACACGCACGCACACGCACGCACACGAGCAGGAAGCAGAGAGAAGATGAAAGCAAAGAAAAGAACGACAAAAGAGATCCACAGACCACACTCTCCGCAGTCCCCTGTCCTCCAAGTTTGGCCACGGTGGGCTCCCGCGGCGGACTTCCTTCGGGGCGGTGTTGCAGCCAAAACGTGTATTGAGGACGGGTAGTACAGTCGAGGCGTTGACCTAAGGAACCCAGAATAAGGAACGAGGCCCCTATTCTCCATGAGTTAAACTTCGATTTCGCATCGAAAACCTAAGGAAAATCTGAGGCAAGCTGCGAAAAAATTAAGGAACACGGAGCCCCTCCCCAACGAAAAGGGTTCCTTCTTCGGGGCCCCGGCTGTAGTAAGGACGCAGGAACCTTGGAGGCCGAAGCTGAGATTTTTGGGGCGGCGGGCGACCCGTGGAAAACGGCGGAGGGCGGGCCGCAGGGGCAAGGACACAAGGGCACCCTAGATGGAGGCGAGCGTCCCTACTCGGCGCGTTGACTGTACAGTGGGGGCCCGTGCCAAGAAACACCATGCTTGCCTCCAGGATGCCCTGGGTTTCTTTGGTTTCGATGCTTTTGCCAATGGGAAGCGTGAAGTTCCCACACCAGAAACCGATGGACGTCCTGGGGTCTCAGGGCTAGGTTTCTTGTGGAAGGTTTCTTGTGGTCGAGCCCCAACTGTAACGTCTTGAGGGCCGTCTTGGAGGTCGACTAAGCACCCCTTCTTCACGCCACCTGGAAAAAACGCTCGCTCCTCGAAGCCGCTTGGATTATGCGGGAGATGTGTGGAGTTCCTGCCGGAGCCATATTGACAAGAAAGACGAGGAATGAAAATATCCTACCACCCTGTAGGGCGTGAGATGTTCAGCGAGGTTCCTCTTCCAACCGCCCCTCTTCCCCTTCGGGGAGGGGTCTACTCTTCCCCCATATCCCTCCCCTGAAGCTGGACTGGGGGGGCGCGCGTCGTTGGAGCGTCCAAGATAGCCCAAGATGGTTCCGAGAGGGCTTCAGAGAACCGAAGACGACCTCCAAGATAACTCAAGATAAGTCAAGACAATGCAAGATGACCTCCAAAATGCTCCAAGAAGCCCTAGGACCGCCCCAAGACAACTCCAAGCAACCACAAAGCCTCCCAAGGAAGCCACCACGAGGCCACAAGCCTTGTGTTTTGCCTTCTCGCCGTTTCGCTTTCGACTGCTCCCCGAGGGCTCAAGAGGGGCCCAAGAATGCCCAAGAGAGCCCCAAGAGCAGCCAAAGAGGGTCCCAAGACGGCCCCTGTGCGCCCAAAGAGCGTTCCAAGAGCGATACAAGAGGCGCCCAAGAGGCGATGTCAAGGGCTCTATAGGGACAGGGCTAATTGAGGACCCCCCTCTTAGATCGATCTGCTCAAAGATGGCCCCAGGATGGCCCCTAAGGCTCCCAAGAGCACCCCAAGAGGGCCCCACGAGGCGCCCAGGAGGCCCCAAGAGGTCCCCGACAGGTCCCCAAGAGGCTCCCGGACCACCAAAACGGCCCCAAGAGGCTTTCCCGAGGCACCCAAGAAGACTCCCAGAAGCTCTCAAGAGACATCCGAAGAGACTCCGAGAAGCGTCCAAGAGGCTTCTGGCCTTTCTGTTCGCACTCCTCCTCCCCCTCCCCCTCCATCCTCTCCATCCTTCTGCTCTTCAGGTATGACAGCTTTCTCACCCTTTCATTCCAATGCATGCTCCTCCACATCCCTAATCAGGGCGACTCGCCTGGGCATCGTTCCTGGATGGTCTGGTAGGGTCACGCGACGCGTCTAGAATCGCGCAACTTGTAAGCAAGGGAGTCTCAAGGTGGCGGCCTCTCGAAGGCCCTCCCGGGAGCCACCAGGGGGCGGCTGCTTCAACACCGCCCCAAAAGGCTCCAAGATGGCCTCGGGATGGCTAGGCGCCGGAGAGGGGAAGGAGGGAATGCTCTCACGTCTCCACCTCCGCACGAGGGGTTGGTCGACTCACTGTGCGCACAAGTCTTTGCAAGGCAGACATTCGGCAACATGTCGACCACTGTTGGGCCGGCAAAATAGAGGCCTCCTAGATGGGAACGGAGTAGATGGGGTTCGAGGATCGCGCCGCATCGCCGATACATCGACGATGCATCAGCGATGCACCGGCGATGCATCGTCGACGTCGGCGATGCATCGCCGACGTCGGCGTGGAGAAAATCGGGCTCCGCATCGAACCGCATCGCTGCGCCTCGCTGGCTACCCTCTCGCTCAAAGGCCACGCCGCGCGCCCGCCGTCACGGTGGCGCACGGCCCTCCACGCCCCGAGCTGCGGGCGCCCCGCGGCTCTCGTGCAGCTCCGCGTGGGGGGGGGGGCGGCGATGGGGGGGCGGCCGGCGGCCCCCGACCCCCTCGCGTCATGAAAGAGCATGGTCCTCCTGGTCCTCCTCCTGCGCCTCTTCCGCCTCCTCCGCCTCCTCCTCCTCCTCCTCCTCCTCCTCCGCCTCCTCCGCCTCCTCCTTCTCCTCCTCCTCCTCCTCCTCCTCCTCCTCCTCTCCTCCTCCTCCTCCTCCTCCTCTTCCTCCTCCTCCTCCTCCTCCTCCTCCTACTCCTCCTCCTCCTCAAGCTGCCGTTGGGCCCGAACCATTTTTGCGGGGCCCAACGCCTCGGTCCCTTCCAGTGGAAGCTTGAGGGACAGCGCAGCCCTGAGTTGCTGTCCTCCCCTTTTGGACACTCTCAGCCAGAGCGTTGACGAGAACCGAGGAAGTAGCTGCAATGGCGCGAGCACGGTCGACCTGCAGGCGTTTTTCTCAGCCGGAGTGGAACAACATTCTAGTCAGCAGGAGCATGCAGTGCGCACGTTGCAAGAGTAAGGTCAAGTTGTATGTTGCGCAATCGTCGAAGGACAAAGATGAGGAGGCCCATTCAGGACCCAGTGGCGGACGCCGCAGCATCCTGAAGACGGTCACTTTCTCAAACGACACACCAGCGGATGGAGTCAAGGCTCGAGGCGCCCGCCGTCGAGCAGGCACCCCACCGCCATCCGCAGCAGGCTCAATTCTCCCGTTGTTGGAACAGGCACTGGAGCAGGCGAGCGATCCCGAGCTGAGGTCGTCGCTCAACTCCCAGGTGGCCAACTTGAAGCAGGCACAGGCCAACGAAGTCAACTCAACGACGGGAGCCCTTCAGTCCTTGCAGAGAGCAGACGGAGCCTGGCGTGACATCAATAATCGCCACACGCACAAGCTGTCCAGGCCGTGGTAAGGTTGAAGAAGCAGCTATGCTCAGCCCAGGAGAAGGAACAGCGGCTTGCACGCGAGTTGGCAGAGGCCGAGCTCGCGAAGAAGCAAGCCGCCCAGATTCTCGCCAACCATGAAGGCACCTCACAAGTCGCCATCGTCTCCGACGCCGACTGCGACGTCCACTGAGGGCAAGCCTTTTGGTTTCAGTTATGACAAGCAGCTGTTCGAGAATCTCGAGGACCTCGAGTGCGAAGAGACGGAGCGCACCGAGCTCAACAAGGTTCACCAGCAGCTCATCGAGACCCAGAAGTACTTTGACGGCGAGGCAGAGAAGTGCACCGCCTTCATCGAGGAAGCCACCGAGATGCGGGCAGTCATCACTGCCCGACTTGCCAAGAAGCGTCGTGGAGGTGATGGTGAACCGACATCCTCACCTGCGACGACACCCCGATCAGAGTCACAGCCCCAGCCCACAGGCACGGCCACTACGCCAGCTCCGCCGAGTGCACCAGTCGACCAGGAGTGCAAGGAGCAGCGTGAGCAGCGGATTGCAGCCGAGGCCAAGCGCCTCTCCGACGCCAAGTTTGCCGCGCAGGCGCATGCAGTTCAGGTGCCATGCGACGGAGGCAACGCAGGAGCTGTTGGAGGGGATCAGGAGCTGTGACTAGGTGTAGACCATGTGCGCAGCGACACCATACCGACCCTTGAGAGCCACGGCAGCCCGCGGGGCCTCAGGGAAGGGAAGTGTCTTGCTGCAGCCGACCCCAGTTTTTCACCCGAGAGAGCTCGACCGCCCCAGGGGAATGAGGACCCTTTGCAGCTTGTGTTCGGCAACGTCACTGCCAGGGGAGACAAGGTGTGGAAATTCACTCAAGAGGCGCACTCGTGCCAACATATTAAACTCTTTTGCCTTGCCGAGACGCATGTATCACGTTCCGCACTGTCGCCTTGGATTCGCAAAGCTCGCGCTGCCAACCTCCGTCTCATTGCCAACCCAGCGAGACCCACAGGTAGAGCAGTTTGTGCCGCGGGCATCGAGAAGGCCACCGAGGGTGGCGAGTGGATCATGGCCCCTGGGCACATGCAGGTACACTCAATGGCCCCTCAGCTTGAGCATGTTTCCGACTTCCAGGTTGACGGTCAGACTATGATCGATGGTTTCAGTGCAGCTCACATCCATATGGTCGGATATTCTTTCGTGCTAGTCACGTTCTACGGATACACAGCGATAGGTTTGACCAACTGTACGGTGGAGCGTTGCTCTAGACTAGGAGCGTTCCCCGCCTCTCTCCAGCTCCCTTGGATTATCGCAGGCGGCTTCAATGCAACTTTCACATCGTTGGCCGCCACAAGATTTCTAGCGAGAGTTGGGGGCGAGGTTGCAAAAGGTTCCGATAGATTACACGCGCGACGCTGGTAGAGAGAAGGTAATCACATAGACTATGTAGACCGAAGCTGTGCTGCCGCCGCCTATCTGGTTGAGGTTGCCCCCTTCATGAGCGCGCCCTGGAAGACCCGCTGCGGCCTCGGGCTCTCCCTCAGGGCCTCGGGGAAGCAACCCCTCACCAGAAGGCTAGTGTTGCCCGCCAGGCCCCCTCAGGCTGGCCGCCCACAGCGCGCCCCCACCCCAGGCTCGAAGCCTCAGCTTGCTCGAGCGGCCAAGGCGACTAGCGCCCCGGCCAGCATCGAGAAGAATCGCGAGCGCTTCCATCTGGTTTTTGATGATTTGCCGGCAACTGTCAGGCACGATGGAGTCGAGTTCGGGCGCGCCACGCCTTCGATGCCACAGGCCGCGGGGACCGTTGGCGACGCCGCCGACGAGCACTCGCTTGACAGCCTTTCCGAAGTCCCCTCGGAAGAAGATCCGCGGGCCGACGAACCCGACTTTGCAGGAGATTCCAAGCCAGTAGCACCAGCTAGCCATGGTGACGTTGTACCCACGACTGGGGAAACGGAGCCTAGGCATGACGACAGCACTCACACTAGCTGCGAGCCCCTCAGGCCGTTTGCTTGGAACCCTGGGGCGCATGTTTTTCACTTGCCTCAGTATACTCCCAGCATCGCGCGGGGCCTCGTGCCACCTCTCGAAGGTTCAGCTGTCGCGGATGATCCTACACCGCTCGTCTCCAGCGTTACCACCCCATCCAGCGCATTTGAAGAGCCCCCCCGGTGATGATCGCGAGGTCAGCTTTTTCATTCCCGATCATGTGTGGGTTGGCGCCAGAGTGGCTGCGGGATGTATTCCTGCAGCCCAGTGTAAACCCTCGGCCGCGTTTGCGTCGTCCGTAGCCCGTAGCCGCTAGGCTCGAGCACCTACCCGTCGCCCCCGCATCGGCTCTATACGCGTCATGGGTGGCGACGCTGGAGCGAGCGGTGTACAACCATCGCGACGTGGAGGCACCCCCAACGCCGTCTCGCATGTTGGGCTATAAGTTTCAGGTCTCTGGCGTCAGGGTTCCCAACAATGGCAGGCTGGTACCCTACAGGGATGTCGCAGCGTCGTGGTGGGAGAAGGCGCATACAGTACTGCAACGGTTAGACAACCATAGGTCTAAGAGGTCTGGGTACATTCAGCAGCAGCAGCAGCAGCTTGAGCAAGCTTGCAGGAACTTACTCCGTGAGTGCCCCGACCAGGCCCACCGAGGGTTGCGAGGGAACTCAGATCCAGCTTGGCATTTTTGACAGTCTCTTTGGCAGCACGGCGCGTTCGACGACCAGCATGGACTGGCCACGTACGTTGCAGCGGCCAGACAGATTGCAGGCCGCTGCAGACGACGTGCATAACCGGCCTCTATCAATGATTTTTGTGATTGGATGGCCCAAACTTCGTCCACGGGAGCTTTACACAAGGCCATGCGCCAAGATCCTGCACCCACCGATGAAGTTGTTGTTGTTGTTGGGTCCCAGGCCCTCTTTCATCCAAAAGACATTGTCGATCATAAGTCGGATGGGTTTCGGAAACTATGGGCCCCGAAGGAACTGGACCAAGACAAACTTTATGATGCCTTCGCTCGTGCTCGCGATGCCGCACGCGAAGACCCGCTCGAACCTTTGCCAGTGGATGGGATTCGTAATGCAGCGCATGCGACGAGGCCTAAGATTGGCATGGGTGTTGACGTGCTCTCGCCCACTGCAATAGAGCGGCAGCCCGCTGTAGCGCTAGCCGAGTTATCTCGCCTTTACAGCGTCATCGAGGAGGCGCTCGCGTGGCCATCGCAGCTAGGCCTCACGATAGGACGTTTGCTGCCCAAGAAATCTCCAGGAGGCCGCGTCATTGGTTCACTTCCGATGGTAGCCAGAGTATGTAATCTCGCCAGGGAAACACAAGTTAAGACTTGGGCAGCAAAGGCCGAGCCCGAGTGGGACGCGGCAGTCTCCGGAAACGCTGCATTACGGGAGGCTTTTTCGAGAGTGGTCGAGGAGGAGGTTTCTGGAATTTTAAACTTGCCATCGGGACACGGACTTCTGGATATCCAGGGGTATTATGATTCCATGGAGTGGTTTTTATTGATTCCAGCAGCGTTGCGTTTGCGATATCCCCTCGTCATATTCTATTTGGAGTTGCCGCAGTGCCTCATGCCACGAGCTCTGGGACAGGGCCCAGCCTTTGCCGAACCCATCCAGCCGACCCGAAGCATTGTTCAAGGACTCCGAGGGGGCACTCGATCCGCACGATGCCTCACCTACTTTATTATATCTCGCATTACCACCGCACATCCAGGCATGGGTTCGCGCATTTGGATAGATGATCTGTCTCAACGCGTGCACGCCTCGAGGACGACCTGAAGACGGAACCTTGTAGCAGGATTGTTGGACACATACGAGGCTCTTCAAGAGCAACAGCTTACTGCATCTCCTAAGAATATTAGATTATGTACACACATTGAAGATGCAAAGCATATCGCTCGTAGTCTGCAACTTCGGGGGTTCGAAGTTAAAGCCAACACGCAAGCCGGTTACTTGGGGCCGGTCCCCCTCATCGTCCTCCTCCTCCGCCTCCGCCTCCGCCTCCTCCCCCTCCCCCTCCCCCTCCCCCTCCCCCTCCCTCCTCCTTTCCATCCCCCTCAATCCAGCCCCCTCCTCCTTTCGACGCTGCGAAAAAAACACGGCGTCGGGCGTCTGGAAGCGCCCAAAGCGCCTTCGGGGCCCGAATGACGACGCAATATATCTCCATGGCTCTCCATGTCTCGAAGTTTCTCTAAATGCTTTGCCCGTTCGTGTCAATCTCTCAGTCAGACCTCACGGCGCGCTCAACTTAGGAGGCCACCACATGCGAACCCTACCCCACCACCCCACGATTTCTGAGAGGCAGGTGAGACTCACTTTGTTCGGGACCTCCCGAGCGAAGTGAACCCGACCTCCCCCTTAGAAATCATGGGGTGGTAGGGGTAGGGTTCGCATGTGGCCACCGACAACTTTCGCCGCCCCCCGTTGGCGCCACCCCCATGTGGAGCTGAGGGAGGCTCAGCCACCTAGATGCCGACCGTCGTGGAACGCGCCGGCAGAGGCTCGACCGCTGGCTCCGAGGCCGGCAAGACCACGGTCCTGATCTGAGGGATCTCGACGATTCGCTCCACGGTCTGCACCTGAGGCGCGCCGTGTACGATCTTCTCCACCTTCTGCACGTGGATCCGCGGCACCTCGCGGACGACTTCCTGCACAATCGCCGTCGGCACCTGCTTGATCACCTCCTCCACCCGCTCCTCCACGACCTCGACGATCTTCTCTTGGTATTGGACTTGCGGGACCTCGACGATCTTCTCAACGGTCTGCACCTCAACCTTGGGGACCTCCCTGACAACCTCGCGCACCTCCTCTTTGAACACCTGCTTGATGACCTCGCGAGTCTCGATCTGCGGCACCTCCACTTCCCGCGTGGTGCGTCGGATGTGTGGAACCTCGACGATCTTCTCGACGGTCTGGACATGCGGCACATGGACCACCTTGATGACCTCCTGAATCTGCGGGACAACCACTTGTTTGATCACCTCTACCTCCTGCACCGTGGGCACCTCCCGTATCACCTCCTGGATCTGGATTTGGGGCACCTCCTCGATCCTCTCCACGGTGCGGATGGTGACGACTGGAACCTCCTTGATGATCTCCCGCACCTCGACCTGTGGCGCCGCATACGCGGGCTCCGCCGGAGCCCCGACGGGCTCCACGGGCGCCTGGGCTGCCTCAAGCGGCCCCGGCGCGGCGTGCACTGGCTCCACCGGCGCCCCCACGGGCTCCACGGGCGCCTGGACCGCTTCCACTGGCTGCGGGGCGCGCGGGGTCACGTACACGGGCGGCGCCACGGTGGTCGGGCCCAGGGTGGTGACGATGCGGGGGACCGCCGCCTGCACGGGCTCCGCCGGAGCCCCGACGGGCTCCACGGGCGCCTGGGCTGCCTCAAGCGGCCCCGGCGCGGCGTGCACTGGCTCCACCGGCGCCCCCACGGGCTCCACGGGCGCCTGGACCGCTTCCACTGGCTGCGGGGCGCGCGGGGTCACGTACACGGGCGGCGCCACGGTGGTCGGGCCCAGGGTGGTGACGATGCGGGGGACCGCCGCCTGCACGGGCTCCGCCGGAGCCCCGACGGGCTCCACGGGCGCCTGGGCTGCCTCAAGCGGCCCCGGCGCGGCGTGCACTGGCTCCACCGGCGCCCCCACGGGCTCCACGGGCGCCTGGACCGCTTCCACTGGCTGCGGGGCGCGCGGGGTCACGTACACGGGCGGCGCCACGGTGGTCGGGCCCAGGTGGTGACGATGCGGGGGACCGCCGCCTGCACGGGCTCCGCCGGAGCCCCGACGGGCTCCACGGGGCCCTGGGCTGCCTCAAGCGGCCCCGGCGCGGCGTGCACTGGCTCCACCGGCGCCCCCACGGGCTCCACGGGCGCCTGGACCGCTTCCACTGGCTGCGGGGCGCGCGGGGTCACGTACACGGGCGGCGCCACGGTGGTCGGGCCCAGGGTGGTGACGATGCGGGGGACCGCCGCCTGCACGGGCTCCGCCGGAGCCCCGACGGGCTCCACGGGCGCCTGGGCTGCCTCAAGCGGCCCCGGCGCAGCGTGCACTGGCTCCACCGGCGCCCCCACGGGCTCCACGGGCGCCTGGACCGCTTCCACTGGCTGCGGGGCGCGCGGGGTCACGTACACGGGCGGCGCCAGGGTGGTCGGGCCCAGGGTGGTGACGATGCGGGGGACCGCCGCCTGCACGGGCTCGAACAGAGCCGCCGAGTAGGGGAACGAAGAATGGCGTAAACATAAAAGCTCCGAGGCCCACGTTGATGTCTCGGATCCGCGCTGGGGCCCCCTGGCGGCGCCTCCGGCGCCGCCCCTGACGCGCTCCGAGCGCCAGGGAGGGGAGTCCAGCGCCGATCCGAGAAATCCGCGCGGACCTCCGATTTTTGTATGTTTGTGCCATTCTTCGTTCCCTTACTGAGGGCGCCCTAGCCGCCACGGGCTCCGTCGCAT